GGCCGCCGCCGCCGCCAAGGTACGCGCTCAGGGTGATTCGCTCCTCGGCGGCACTCGTAAACTGTGGTAAATGCGGCGCCGAGTCGTAACGCCTCACCTCATCGTCGCATTGGCGTCGGCGTCGGCGTGTTATGTCATCCCACATCATCGATAAACATATATACATACACCCACATGTGTGTGTGTACGTGCACGCGTACAGCGGCGTGTGTGGAAAGAGGTCAACAGGATGTCTTAAGGCTTGTCGGTGTTCAGCTCTGATGAACACACTCTTGCCGAGGTGAGGTGGAGAATAACCTCCACGGGAGAGGGCCCCCTTACGGGCCCGTTGTACTGCATAGTACGGCATAGTACGGCGAGCTGGGGAGGGGGGATACGGCGAAGTATAGTACGGCGGGACGTGGCGGGGATGTGTGCGTGTGCATGGCCGCGTGGAATTGCTTCATCAATTTTGCAGGATACATCTCCAGAGAGTACATTCCCTTGAAAGCGGGAAGATGAGGCAACAGGTGAACTTGCGGTTGTCTTCCGTGTGTGCGTGTGCTACACGCGCGGGGGCAGGGGGAGGAGGAAGCTTTTTTAAGGCGAGTATGAGGGTGAGTGTTTTGTTCAACCATCAAAAGAAATGGCCGGAGAGGTGGTGAGGTGACTTTGAAGCTTTTGGGGAAAGTGAAGAAGTTATTCGAGCGGAGGAGGAGGGAGGGGGAGGGAGGGAGAGAGAGAGGAGGAGAGAAAGTACCGCACACGTAGCCGCTCGCTGCGTCAGGTGCCCCCCCAGCGGGGCGTTGCCTAATATGGCATCGAAAGTGAATATGGGTTGGTTGAGGTTATTATTACTACTAGTATTATATTAGTTACTGTTGTGCTGCGGCCAAAACAAAACCGTAAGCCGCACAGCTGCTGTGTCTCTCCGGTTGCGTATGTGTGTGCGTATGTGCGTATGTGTTTTCGAAGGAAGCATCGCGCTTGCGTGTACGAGTGCACGTGGTGAAGGCAGAGATGGAAGGGAACGGAGGAGAGGGGGGTTGAGGTGTTTCCCGGTTTGGATCTGGACGTGGGTGCACCGGAGGTGTTTTTTGAGTGGTGCGCTGTGGAGGTGGTTGTTGGTTGGGAAGGAAATCTGTGTGGAGGAGGGAGGGGGGAAGGGTTGTCGCGGTCGATTAGTGACATGAGCGAGAGGTCTTTGCGAGACGCAGTGCTGCTGGGCGACTCGGCCTGCCGCGGTGTGGGCTCGAAGGACCGGGGGGGCCCCGTGAGAGAGAGAGGGAGCAAGAGAGAAGGAGGGAGCGGGATACATATGAGCGGTGTTGGTCCTTTGCGGTTGGTATCAGTTGTCAGTTTTGCGGTTGGGGTTAGTTGTCAATTTTGGTTTTTTGTTGTTCCATCTCATGTTGGTGGAGTACTTTCCTCTCGCATAATTTCGCAGAACGTTTTGATGTTTCGCAGCTGCGGGGTTGGCCAGAGCGCTGCGAGTCGTCGTGCATGTGCTTCTTACAAAACACTGAGGAATTTGGAAGGTTATCGGCCGTGGCGTTGGCTGCGTTGGCGGCTTCGGCGGTAGCGGCTTAAGCTGGAGGACGCGGTGAAAAGAATAACGTTGGGTTCTTATCCGGGGCATGCGAAGGCGAGGAGAGGACAGGGAGGATGGCTGATCGGCTCCTTTGAGGGCTGCGTTACTACTAAGAGTCTTCTTGGTGGTTGACCGTTAAGAGAACGCAATTCTCGGATTTTGTTTTAGGAAAATGCCAGGATAAGGAATCGCTTGTGCACTTCATCCTGTCTCCTACAGGGCCCATTGTCCGTTGTGATGTGGGGAGCCAGGGGCATGCAGCGCGCTATAAGGCCCCGATTCCAGAGGATTGCGAGGGGGTTTGAGTGTGCTGTCCTCTTTTTGTGTGTCAAGCAAGAGGATGCAACGGGGGGCCGTACACGTCCAAAGCGATCTGGCATCTGGCTATGAGATGAAATGAGTTCTGGGACAGATCACTGCGCAGCGTGATGTGGGGACAAAGTGTTACGGCGCGCGCCCGTGAGCCATTTGCTTGCTGCGGCGGAGGGAGAGGCTGAGGGTTTTCTTGGGCTTACCCAACGGCAGCTGCACATATTGTCCAACGGAAGGTGTTAAACTAGGAACGGGGGTTAAAATGGCGTGCCGCAATTTTGCAGTAAAAAATAAACCGGAAGAGGAAGTGAAAGGGGGAATATACACCTAGTTCATAAAGCCTTACTTAATGTCACGCGTGTATGTGTGTGGGTATGTGTGTATGTGTTGCACCTCACCTTCTGGAGTTATACCCCCCTTAGCCAGATAGGTACTGTGGGTAAAATTCGACAACGCCAGCTGGTCAGCTGGTCTTCATAGTCTGATCCACCTGAAAACCGACAGAAAGCCCCTGTGCATGTGCTGCACAGGCAGCCACATACCCTGCCAAGCTGCTTGCTGTCCCCACAAAGTTTGCACACCTTGCATGTTTCCTCCGTTTGGACGCTGCGCTTGGAAGCTTACGATATTCCTGTCTGATAAACCCCCTCCCTTTTCCATCATAGATACCCAGCTAGCGCTTTCAGATGCCAGTATCCATCCCTATATTATAACGCCGTTGTAGTAATTCTAAGAACGAAAGAATCACTTAGGTTGTGTCCGGTGCGCGTGCTGTGCGTGTGGTTTCGTGCACCGCAGCAACGTCGAGCAGGTCTAGAGGAAAGGACTCTAGGCAAGGGAAAGGGATAGGCAACTCGGTGACAGAGCGGGTTACGGGGAGCTGCATATAGGCTGTTGCGCTTACATACATTGGGGGAAGGGTGAAGAGTGGAGGGTGGAAGCCCAGCCTGACCGTTGATAGAGCCTGGAAGAGAAGAGACGTACATACTTTAATGGGCTATCGTTCGTAGGTACTAGATGTGACACGGGGTAGAAGTAGCGGCGGGCTGGCTTTTGAGGTATGCGTCGGTCATGGCCCTTGGTGCTGCTAGGGGTTCAGGGAGTCAGGATTGAGCCCATCATGCGCCCATCGTCCACCGTACAATTTAAGAGCCATTCCGTTTACACTCCTGTGAAGTTTTTATTGTAGTGATAACTGGGAATATAAGGGAGGCTTGTATTAGCTGGTTGGCGTTGTTCATACCTTGAACCGCCGAGTTCGCGACCACGCCTTAAACGGGTTCCAAACCTTCTTGTTCTTAAATTTTATACATTTCGCCTATTCATTGAGCCATCTTGTAGCGATCCTTAGCGCAATCACCAAACAAAACTGACGGCAACTCTCGCATGAGCAGCTCGCTCCACCAGCTGCGGCTGGCATCATGCCGAGAATGCTCAACATCTTATATACACGTCTTACGTCCTAGTAATAGATGCCATCTGGTCGTGGGCCGCCGCGACTTCCAACATCAGCGATTGCATAGAGCGAAAGTAGCCGGCAATGATGCCGCAGCTGTATATCCACCAAGCGATGAAGGCGCTGGTAGCCTTGGACCTTCAACTAGGGATCATCCAGACCCAGCCTTGAGAGAAAGCCTCGGGAGGGAGTGCTCCGGACAGCCCGCGAAACAGCCTTCGGCGAACATTTCCCAGGTGGGAGTTGCGCCATAAGTCTGAATCAATTCGTGTCTTTTTCGGGCCGAAACACAAGCGCCTTACAAACGCTGTGGCGGTGGCTTCCATTACAGCTGCACCTGCTCTCAAGGTTTCTTAAACCCCTCCGTGTCCTTCAAACCCGGCCCTGATGCACCGCAACCAATCCGGTCCGCTTCCTCCTTTCCTCCGAAACCACCGACAGGAGGGCCTGCCAAAGGTTCCATGGGGGCTGGGCAAGGTCTTTCAGGTGCGCCGCCAAGCGCCTGCGTAGAGCAGCTCTGATGCCGCATAGCAAGGCTACTTTTAAGTCCCGCTCGCGTTTCCCCCTCGAGTGCCTTCCAGTGTTTTCCCGCCCCGGTGCCTACCCCCTGCCGCAGAAGCTCAGGTCCACAGCCGGCCGCGCAATTAGAAACCTTGCTATTACCCAAACGTGTTCACTGCTATCTTATAATAAGATAATAAGATGAGTGCATCGTTTCCAAACGGACCTCGGATTGTTCCCTTTTGAAAGTCCTCGCAAATCCAAAATTGAACAACGTAATGCCACATCGCGGCACGCAGCACCACACCGTTACCCCGCCTACTCGCCTTTTCCTTGCCGACCTCCTTCCCACTCTCCCTGCCATCCGCCCTGTTCTCCCACCCTACTCACTGCCGTGTATCACTATTGTGTGTCCTGTGGTTTGCCCGCTTCCGCTTCCTCAGCACTTGGCCTGCTCGGTACCCGTCCCTAAACACGGCTTCGTTCGCCTGCCTCGCCCTGCCCCATCTCATTCACATCCATCGCCGACCACACCGTCCCCTCCGTCCCGTCCCGTCCCCGCTCCTTTTCAACCCTGAACGCGTGCAGGTCATGACGCTCTGGCTGCTAGCCTACATCATCATCGGCCACGTCATCGTACCGCTCATCCTCAGCTGCCTCGGCGTTGACCGGTTGGAGTTGACCGTACGAAGCCATGCCGTGCTGCACCTCTGCCTGGACCTCTCCCAGCTCATCATCACACTCAGCATCCTCTGGTCTTGTCTTCGCGAGTTCCGCCCGCTCAGCTTGGGTCTCTTTCCTGTGCGCCTCCGCGGGCTTTGGCCATTGGCCGTAGTGCTGTGCTGCGCCTCCTTTCCTCTCGTCGACTGGCTGGCACACCAAAGCATGGGCTGGTTTCCTTTCGAGCCTGACGCGAGCTGGGCTTCGAACCTTGAGCATTCGCTGTCGGTCGGCGACTGGGTTACGAACGTGGTGTATTTTAGCGTGGTGTCGTTGTGCGCGCCGATTTGGGAAGAGGCGATTTTCCGTGGGTTTCTGTTAACTTCGTTGGCGCGCTACATGCCGACGCCGGCGGCAGTAGCGGTGAGTTCTGTGGTGTTTGCGTCGTGTCACTTTCGCATGCAGACGTTCCTGCCGCTGCTCGTCCTGGGGGTGGTCTTTTCGGGTGTGTTTATCCGGACTAAAAACCTGATTCCGCCCATCCTGTTGCACAGCGCCTGGAACATGTATGTGCTGGTAACGCTCGTGCTGCGACCCGGGTAATGGAGAATGGGTATTCCCGGGAGCGAGGCGGTTTGAGAGGGCGGACGGGGTTTCTGGGTGTGATAGGAGGAGAAGAGGGTGAACGGGCCGAGTTGGATGCATTGGGGTGCTATGGAATAAGCGCCGACTCAGACCCAGATGAAGGACCCAGATGGGACTCAGCCTGAGAGAAATGAAGGGGGGGTGTAATGGCTTCCTCGGGAATTGGGTCGGGTGAAAAAGGGGCCGAACAGATTCTGTGAGGAGAGGGTTTTGCTGCTAGGTTGGGAAGTAGGGAAGAATTTCAGGATTAGTGTGTCTGGGTGGGATTTGGGGTTCGGACAGGGTGATTGTGGAATGATCTTTTGGTACACCACCGTGTGTTTCTTGTGATTGCAGTGTCCTGGTGAGTTTTATGTGTGCGCCATTGTCTACTAACTTGTGGATGTTAGGCTGTGCGCCTCTGGCTTGCGTGGATCTATTACACCTCTCTGGGTAATGCAACGGAGGTCTGACATACACACATTCTCTAGTACGTACTATCCGTTGTCGCGACAATGGGTCGCGCACGTTTCATTGCAATGGGTCGCGCCAACCTTGTGCAGGATTAAAACAAAAATGGCTTGTAACAATTTGCCATGTCCGGCTTTATTTTTGTGCTGGTAGCTGCTGATAATGTATTGCTAGGTTATTTGGATTTCCAATCGGAGGGGGGAGGGACTGTGCACAAACCATGCTCGGCAGGTCAGTCGCCTTATTGATGTATATATACACGTCATATCCCATCCCCTGACAGGGAGTTATTAGGCAGTTGCCCTTTTAGTACGGTTCCGATGTTGATATGCCAAAACCGCGTACGTAATCAAGTCAGGTCAGGACTCTCTGCTCAATGTCAGATGTGCATACGGGCAGCGACATGCCAACGTACCAGCCACTTCACGACCATTAATGAAGCCGCATAGACCTTTCCACCACTGTCTTGACTCTATCATCAGATCATCAGACAAGACGCGGTTAAACCGCAGGACACAGACGACCTCACCCTCGTATAGGAAATCCAGCATCGTTATGAAGTGTGGACTAACAAGCTAATAATAGGCTTGGAGCTGCAGTACTTGTATATAAATGTCTCGATATGGAAATGTCTTCCTCTCGTGTCTCTCGGCGTCAGGCGTATAACTTCCCTCTATACACACACAGCTTGGCTAATAGCAGCTATAGCCGCCACTCACAAAATTGCTAGTATTCACGCCCGCAGCTGCTAGGTCGGCGGGTAGCTTGTACTGGGGAGAACAGCTATACAACATCTCCGCAGCACGGTCCCCAAACCACGCACCATGCTATTAGGTGACTTAGGCGACGTATTCAATTCTAACACCTCCATCGGCTGCATACGGACGAATAACCACATCGCAGGTTTTGCACTCTGTCGACGTCAACATGCAAGGTACACAAAAATTAGCGGTCCATCCCCGTGTCGGCTCCCCCCCATGTGAAACCGAAGCCGCCCCATCCAAGCCATGCTGCTTCAGAGGATATACAGTAAGGCCTCAGTCGCGCACAAGCGATCGGCTGCGGCTTCGTGACCGCTCCCGAACCCCCAGTGGCCGGGAACGTTCTCGGACAGGCGACCTCCTCAGGAGTGGTGACGCGGACCGCTCTCGAATTGGACTCGGGCTACGAGGACGAAGATCTAAGGGCGGGCTGTCCCGGCGCGGGGAAGACCTGCACCCGGGACATGAGGCCATCCCGTCCAGTGTGCATGTGTTGTGTGTTTTTGTCACACCATGGTCGCAAAAAAACCTCCATAGAGAAGCAGACAGGTCGCACTGATGGCATTTATATATATAATACATATAATAAAATAAATAATAATTTGTAATAATAGATAATAAATATATTACGTATGTGGGAACACGTTACGTGGGACACACTGCCGCTCCCAGCGGACGGCATAAGGGAACAATGGTCCGACAGGCCCCAAATCGGAAGCGTCCAAAGGTAATTCGCACAAGTAATGTGCAAAGCAGCGCGCTCAGGGCACGAGACCCTGTTGAAGTTTTGCTAGGCACGCGGAGGCTTTGTCACCGACCGAATCACTCCCGTCTTACCGGCGCGGCGGACTTGGGCTGCGACGGCGGATCGGGCTCGGGGACCGCCGGCGGATGGGGCTCAGCGAGCGCCGTAGTACGGGGCTTGGGCTGCGGCGCCGTAGTACGGGGCTTGGACTCCGGCGGCGCGGCGGACTGACCCGGCGGTAAGGGCTAGGCGACCGGCGGCGCGGCGGGCTACATGCACAGGGAGGGGAGGCAGCCCAGCCCAAAGAGCGTCTCAGACCACGTTGCTGGCTGTAAGATTCAACATTCATTCGAGTACATTGGAGGTGCTCCGAGAAGAGTAACGCGGACCAGAGCGCGCGGAGGATAAGACCTCCCAGACATCGCGGCACGTTGCTCTCTCGTGTGGCGCTTCGTGCTCAAGCGGACGAGGGAGGACGATGATGGTCCACCACGTAACCGCACTAAAAATGATTTACTGCCCATAATCCCCTCCAATGGCTTTTACGGACACCCCCGCACTTGTGCGGAACTTGTAACTTGTAACTTTAAACCACGCACCGGCGACCGCAGGCCATCCTGGAAACGTGTTCTCGGGTGGTGATGTTTTTTATCCCCATAAACTGCAAACTGCAAATCATGTAGGGCTTACAGCATTACATCGACTCACCTGCGGCGAAAGTCATCAAAGCGGTCCACTGGCGGGCCTCCGCGGAACCCGCCGCGTCCGGGCGGCGGGCCGCGGTTGCGAGAAATCTCCACCCGCTGCCAACAGTGAAACGGAAAGCACGACAAGTAGGAAGACGGTTGAGGAACATGTAGCGGGCTGCATACGTACCCAAACGTACCCAGTCAGCACCTCTTAATCAAGAAGCAACAGAGGGAAGCAAACAACTCAGCCAGGAAGGCTGAAAACAAGGTGTTGTAAAGGAACGCTAGCAGATGCATGTGCACACGTTCATAGCCCCCAAACGTTTCTACTCCGCCATCCGTAACAAGCCATCCGTAACAAGAGCAGCATCATGATAAAGGGGTCGCAGGAAAGGCCGTTGAAGGTTGTAATATTGTTGCAAGTATTGCTAGCTATGGGTCGTTAGGACTCTTTGAGCTTCACCCAGCCTCACCCAGCCTTTAAAGCCATCCAGCGCCCGGACTGCGTCATCCGCATCTCGGGCGTCGTCCATCTCAATGAACGCTGTGCGGCGAACGCAACAAGTGAAGATTGGGGAAGAGTGGGGCGCGTGTTTTGTCGTGCGGGTTGCACAGATATTGCGAAGGCACGGGATCAGCTGACATCCAACCCCCGTCAAGGCATTGCATCAGGCTGAGTGCGGCTACACCGCGCCGAACTGTGGCCAGAATAGTAGGTCCTACACGCATGGCCAATGGCTTCTATGGCAACCGAGCGAATTGGAAGGCCTACTGATAGCTGTGTCATGTCGCGACACCCCTTCCCCCGCGCGCGGCGTGTCGGACATTGGCCCGGCTCACTGCGGCGCAAGTAACGTGGTCGCTGGTAGTGCCGGCGCGATTGCAACCAACGGCGAACAGACGGTGTGCGACGGTGCGGCTGGGGCGACGCAGGTGTGATGGCGTGGGGACGAAGATGATGGCCGATGGAAGGTGAGGCGACAGGACGGTGGGCGTGACGATGAAGCTATAGACGTGGGCGAGGTGCATTTGGAAAGGTAGGTGGCGTAGATGGTGGGGCAAAAGTATGGCGATGGCAGCATCGACGCCGACGAGAAGCGACAGTCGGTGAATGAGGAGGAGGGGTTGGAGATCGTCGGAGCGATGAAGAGGATTAAAAAAGGCGGTGTTGAGATGTGGAACGCCGGCGACGGCGGTCACAGTTCAACTGCATGTGCAGTTGCACAGGCGGCAGGTAAAGGACGCAGGCAACGGGCGGTCAGTCTACGAAACTGAAGATCGACGAGTTAACTATTGAGCTTGGCTGGCACGCAGGGTAGCGCTTCCCCATTTTAAGTAGACGATTCAGAAGATTCTTCTCCAAACCCAAGTGGCCACCGGCACTGCACAGCCCGTAACATCATGAAGCTCACCAAATCCTACATGAAACGGGAGTGAGAACATCAGTTACCAAAAAGAGAGAGAGAAAGAGGCGCCTTCAATCGGTCAGTCCAAGAACACAGTTCTACCTGGCGGTTTCCGGGCGACCCATACACTCCGTAATCTCCCAAACCTCACGAACTCCGCCTCAAGTTCCTCCTCACGCAGGCTGGAATGCAAGTTACCTGAACGACATTCATGCTGTCAGGAATCACGTTCACATGCATCCACCGAATAGCAAAAAACATCACTCACCGATGTATATTCTCGCCATCGCAATTACCTTACAAGATTAGTTTATATTTCAAGCGTAGCGCACTCGCACTTCAGGTACGTTGCTGTAACGCCAAGACGCGTCGGAGCAGTTAAGTACAGTTTCAGAAACGCATCGTTTTAGTAGTCGTATTTAAATAGTATTCATACACTTGGTGCAGTTATTATGAAGAAAACACAGCGGTTGTACGGTTCCGAGGTGGTTCTGGAGCCTTATCCAGGCACTTCTCATGTCAGGCTGCAACTCTCACACCCTGAAATGCTGAGGGCTAATAGATCGACGCCGAAATGCCCTCCTCCTTCTTGGACCAAGAAGAGGACGTGCCCCTAAGTCCAGAGCAGTTAGCAGCCAAACTCCGCAAATTCGAGGGCTATAAAGAAGACTTCGCTGCTGACATAAAACGCCTTGAGGAACGGCGTCAACGGCTGCAGGACGACTTAAGCGAGTATTCGCAGCTGGTCGAGCGGGTGGAGAAACTTATCACGGCAAGACCGTGTGGTTGGTGCTATGGGAACTCTTCTGCATGCGTGCTGTTCGTTCAGGGCCCACTTTTTCGCAAACTCACTCCCTGGCTCCGCTACCGTACCTGTCAACTTCTTGGGTTGGGCTCACGAACCCCGGCGTTTGGGCTATGTTGGCAGGATATATTAGTAGCTTCAGTTCCCTACAACCGTTCGCCCATCTGGTGGCAAACCCGCACGAGACCTGTCTCACTGCAGGATGGGACCTCTGGCTTTGAAACACGAGTAGACGTGGGCTGCGACGTGACTGTGGCTGCCCGTGTGCCGGACTGCAAGCGCATATTTGTGGCAATTGGACTGGGCTTCCATGTCGAGTTGGAGCTGGCGGAGGTGTCGGCGCTGGTGACGCCTCGCTGCAAGCACCTTGAAGGTCTTGTTGTTGAGGTGGACAGAAAGCTCTCGGACGCGCGCAGTTGCGCTCATGCGTTTGACTCTTCACTGCAGCTGCTAAAAGCTGGTGAAGAGTGACCTAGATTGCAGGATTTGGGGGGAGGAGAAACGTGCAATCGCCAAATATAATTATAGCGGAACAGGTCATGGCGTACTATCGTGCAGCCGCCTCTCTCCCATACTTGGGGACATCCGTCCTCCGGTTAGCTCCTAACAGGCGAACATTTGGCTGTCGAGCCAACTAGCTGATGTCAATTACAAATTTGTAAAGCTTCCGTATCTAACTGCTATTGCACTCTTCGTTGCAACGACACAACGAGCGAAACGGCAAGCCGGGACCCACAATTGAGAAGTGCCCAAATGAATACGTGTTTGGTTTAACTGGATGTCAACTTGAACCATATCATGTAGCTGTAGATAATGGCGCGCACACGTACTTGTGGATGGGCCGTGTTTCTTTTGACCACGTTGGGATTCTTAAATTTTGCAACATGTAATGGATCAATTATTCATGAAGCTTTGCAGCAAATTTTTGGTTCTTCACAGACGCCAGCTGCAGAAGCTGAGTTGATGGCATTACTCAATGTTGCAGTTGACATGCCCCGGTTTAAAATTGATGGTGCAAAATACAAAGTTCCTGAACTCGACGAGCCTGGAGCTGTGGACTTTGCGAAACAGTTGATTGCTATGGCTGCTGCGGGCAACGACTGTTCTTCTGAGTGGATCGCTGCCATCCGCAGTTTCTTCACCTCAAATGTCGCAAACATGACTACAAAATCACCGAATGTTTTCGGGAAACGTCAGGCTTTCCCAGCTCTTCGCCGAATGATCCTAGCCCAGCTGGTCAAGGCCTGGGTTACACGTATGCAACGGCAGCTGCCAGGACAGATTGAGGAGGGGCTGCAACAAATGTTTCTGGAGGTGAGCTTAACGCTCCAAAACACGTGGACCACTAGTCCTTCCCCCTACAACCTCACGTCCAGCTGAGCTTGACTGACCTGCGCAAGCACGCATATCCACAAGCAATCCCAGCGCGCTCTGCGTTGCACCCCTTACACTTCCCGCCGCCGTCCCCCTTTCTCATCTACTTTTCCCGCAACCCATGTCCCCCGCTGCCGTCCCCCCAATCAAAGCTGATATGAAGCTGTGGGGGACAGCAGCGAGGTGGATAGCAGGCGGGGTTAGGTGGTATGTGTACACTTTGAAGCACGCGCCATTACGGCTTCCCCTTTTCCTAGGACCCTAGCTTCGCGTGTCCGTGCGCTGTCCGGGCCGCGGCCTCTTCTTCGCCATGTTGCTGCTGTTGCTGCAGCTGCGACTGCGACTGCTGCTGCTGCTGCTGTTGCTGTTGCCCAGCCCCGCCTCCTCCCCTTCCCCTTTCTCCCAGCTTTACGAGGCTCACCGGGTGGTGGCCATCCGTAAGGGCATTATGGAGTACTTCCACATCTCCAAGGCGGGGGGCACCAGCTGGTGCCATGCGGCGAGTGAGCCCGTCTCCATTGGGATTTGGGAAGTCCGAATTTGGGAAGAGCTGATTTGGGTTTTTGTTGGAGAGTAGTTTGGAAGGAGTTGGGGGCAGAAGGGAAAAAAGGAAAGGTGGTGGAAAGTGGCGGGGAGGCTATGAGCGGAGGGATCGGAGGACTGATAGTGGGATTGGCAACAAGAACGAGATCGCCCAACCCGGGCTTCCGCCAAAGGCGAATGTGGACATGAAAAAGCAAGCAGAGATCGTTGTGGTAGACGTCCTTGCTTTAAACGTCCTCGGGGCTGTTCTCGGCCCTATCTACCTGCCTGTCTGCCTGCCTCTCTGTCTATCATAACCATCAGCCCGCCCGCCTATCTGTAGTTGCAAACACGTGAACGGGCTTCCGGCGTATCTGCCAACCAACCTGCCCGTGCCCGGATCTGCTCGTGCCCGGATCTGCCCGTGCCCGGATCTGCCCGTGCCCGGATCTGCTCGTGCCCGGATCTGCCCGTGCCCGGATCTGCTCGTGCCCGGATCTGCTCGTCCGTGTCCGCGCAGAAAACAACGGATGTCGCGCACAGATCTACGACTCGGCGTACATTTGTCAGATCAGTCAGTTCGATGACCGAGTTCGGTGGCTGAATAACAACTTCCACGTGCGGCGCACCGGTCGGGGTGCCAGGTGGGTGGGTGGGTGTGGTGGTGGGGAAGGTGCGTGTGTGTATGTGTCTGTGTGTGTGTCTGTGTGCGTGTGTGGGTGTGGGTGTGTGGGTGTCAGGGGGAAAGGTGAGTGTGCGTGTCTGTTTGTGTGTGTGGGGTGGTGGTGGTAGAAGGGAGGAAGAGAACGTTTTGGGGTTTTAATGACCTGAGCTGCGGGCAGGGGCTGGTTAGGCCCCTGGATAACTGCCACATATTCCCGAGGTAAGGCAATGAGTTCGGAGCCATGTCCAGAAGTAGTCCGGACACAGAAACAGATGGCAGGGGGTCAAATCACGGCAAAGACCCATACAATCCTTTAGACCTCACCTTCCACCCAAACCCCGCCCCAAACCCGGCTCCTTTCCCCGATTTTGCTGTGTTGCCTAATTTGTCTCGGCCCCCATGAATTCTTAAACTTTTGAATTCAGCCCCTGTTACCGGTTTCCCCCCGCGCATTGACTTGTCACCAGTTTGCGGCTATTTGGACAGTGGACTGTCAGACAGTTGTTTCCCCGTCTCGACTTTCCTTAACACGTAATATATAACACGTATCTCTCACTCCCTCACGTTCTCTTTTCTCCCCTCCCTTTTTTTGACCTTCCGCCCTCTTCCTCTCTGTTTTCCCACCGCCCTCCCCCCCCCCCCGCACTACCCGCGCGAGCAGGTGGGGGAGCTGGGGTCGCGCCAAGCGCGTCACCAATCTGACCTCCTGCGCCCAGCGCCACGAGTTTGCTGCGCTGATGGGCTACCAGTACTTTTCCAACGAGTACACGCTGCACGAGGGCTTCGAGGACCCGGCCAATGTGGGTATATGCCACCAGTTCTTTAATGTCATACTCATAAGGTGAGGGCAAGGGGGGGGAGAGGGGAGAGAAAAGGTAAATAATCGGGAGGAGGATGAGGGGGAAGGAGGAGAGGGAGGGATATTTTTCATGCCTTGCAATTAAAAAAAAGAAGCAAAGAATCGACTGCCCTCGTTGGTTGGTTTGGTTTGGTTTGGTGTTTGATAACCTGGGCCCTACCTGGGGTGCATGGCCGCCTTTTGCTTGCGGTGCCGTACGGTCCTTATGATTTCCCCTAGGAGCTCCCTATTTCCCTTTTTCCCGATTCCCCCTTCCCCTAATCTCTCCTTCCTTGCCCGGCCCTCCCCTTCCCCTTCCCCTCCCCCCCCACCTTTTATAACTTCAGACACCCTCACAAGCGGCTGCTGTCCCACCTCAAGTTCGTTGTGTTGCAAATGAAGTGGGACTACCGGAATAACGACCTCTTCAACCGAACGTTCTGGGGTACCGACTCCGAGTTCTGGGACCAGTTTGGACCCGTGTTGGTCGACAATTACATGCTGCGGTGGGAAGGGAAGGGAAGGGAAGGGGGGAAGGGAAGGGAAGGGAAGGGGGGAAATCTGGGGGGGAGTTGAGGAGAGTCCAGTGGGGGGGTAATGGGGAGTTATTTGCAAACCGGAGGGAGAGGGAAGGGGTGGGTGGTGGAGAGGTGGGAGGTGGAAAAGGGCGGGGGGAAGGCAAAGGGGGACGGGGAAAGAGAGGAGGGGGTGGATGGAGGAGGGGGAGGAATGGGAGGAGGAGGAGGAGTAAGGGTTTCTGTGCACGGTTGCACAGAAGCGAACGAAAAAGGCTCCGATTTCCCGCCCTCCCTTATCCCTCTTGTCCCCTCTCCCTTCCCCTCTCCCTTCCCGTTTCCCCCCAATACACAAAACACACACACACGCACATGTGTTGCGTGTCTTTAGCGGCATGTTGGGTGAGACGGTGTACCACGCGCCTATTGGTTCCTTGGGCGCGGAGGAGATCGCGCGAGCGAGAGCCATTCTTCAACAGGTGCGTGTGTACGTGTACGTACTGGGGGGTAGAATCAGCCATTCTGCAACAGGCCGATGTTTCGGTATGGTATGAGACGGAGGGCGCGGGGGCGGGGGTAACCATGTGATTTGACAGAAGCAAAGAATCCAGGTGGTGACGGGGGGAGGGGGGAGGAAGGGGCGGAGGCGGGTGCGGTTGTGGGCGGGTGCAGCACGCAAAAGGAAGGGTAGGGAGGAGGCGAGCGGGCGGGCGAGGGGGGAAAGGTACGCCGTATGATTTGCAGGAGGCGGGGAGAAGCGGGCTACAGGGCTTAGAACGTTGGGCCGCTCTCCTCGTTGCTCGGTTTAGATTGCGACTTGATTCCCACATTTGGGGGGCCTAACAAACTGGTTTTGAGCTCCTCCAACCAACAACCACTAACAACTAACTATTAACGCCACCATCGACACCCACACAAGCACCTCGCCCTTGTCATGGGCTGCGCTGTGTGCGGTTCCCTCTCTTTCTCCCTTGTTTTGTGAAACCTTCCTCTTTCTCCCCCCCGCCCATACCCTGCTCACCCGCCCGCACCTGTGCTGTACGAATTTTGCCGTACCGTGTATGGTAACCGTATTTGCAGTACGATTTGATTATTGACCTTGAGGAGGGACATGACGCGGTGGACCAGCTTATTGAGCTCGGAGTGGGCTGGCCGCACACCCTGAGGGAGGTGCGTGTTGTGTACGTGTTTATGTATGTATGGCTTGGGCGGCAATGGGTGTGCGGTGCAATGCCTTCAACACGTGAGCGCGCGCGCGTGTGTGTGTGGTGGGGGGAGACATAACACATGTACGGGAAATACGGAGGTGGGAATGCTGAGGTTTGGAATAGAGGATGAGAGAGCCGTCCCCAAAACGCCGCCACGGCATCCTCGCATCCAAGCTAGGTAAGGCTAAGGCCGAGAAGATTTGTTTTGTGTTTTGTTGTGAGATCGGTTTTTCTTATGCAACTGGGCATGAGTGCGGGTTGAGCGAGGAGGCGAAAGGTATTTGGATCATCCTTCTGTCGTACAGCAATATCGTGCGGTTCTCTTTTCGTATACATCCTTCAGTTGCTATGAGGGGAAGAGGATTTATCTGCTACACCCTCTTCTTCCTACACACACCATGACATGTATATACATACATACATACATACATGCACTGTGCTGCGCGGAGGCGGTGGACATCACGACCTAATGGTCAAGCGGACGCGGCGGGAGCTGGAGTTTAGGGGATAAGGGGATAGGGTGTCGAGGCGCGGAGGGGGGATTTGAGGTGGTGGGGGTGGTAGGGAGGTCGAGAGGGAGGTTGAGGGGAAAGGTTGCGAGGGGGGCGGGATCAGGGATGGGGCTTGGGGGGGTGCCGCGCAAGGGGACATGGGGGAGGGAGGGTGTATTTGCCTGGGGGAGCCGTACCGGCGGAGGGGGGGGAGACCGGGGAAAGGGCGGGGAGAGCCGGGGGGGGAGGGGAAGAGGCAGAGAGAGCACCAAGAGGATGTAGGG